ATGATAGAAAAAATTGCATCTTGTACCAACAATCTTCCTTAATCTCAAAATTTTTCAAACCCTAGATTTTTGCTCTTTGATCTTGATAATTATGTGTTGCTTCGCTTGTGTTAAACACTCAAATGAAGTACAATAACTATAAAAGTGAGATAATAGTTAGTTAAAACCACCTATTGTAATGTAATATGTTTTGTAATTAACTATTATCTCACACCTCCTATTTTAGTGTGATTAGGAGATCCATTTTGACATAATAAGTCTAAAATAACTATAAAAGGGAGTCATAAAGCATTTTCAATGTGGACTTTGAGTATAATTAGGTATCCACAGAAGCTGAAAGTTTTGACAGTTAAGTGCACTTCGGTCTTCCATATTAAGCCCCCGTTTGGTGCACATTTTGATTGTAAGAATGTATTTTTATTGTTGATATGATGTGGAATATGTGGTTGAAAAAGAAGGAAAAGTTATTGATGTGATGAAAAATATTATTTTATTGAAGAATGTGTAGTTGAAAATAAGTAGAATAATGAGAATGAAAAAAATAATGTGGACCAAACAGAGCCTAAGTTCTTGTGCATCTAGGCCCTCTTTATTTGCATGGCATATTCTCATCTTCAAGAGTTATATTGGTCCCCCAATACCTCAATTTTGTACTGCTTCAATCCAACTTCATCTAAACTTGTTCAATCCAAATTTTACTTACAATTAACAAAATTTAACTTAAATTAAGTAGATATTTGCCCAAAATAATAATAATAATAATAATAATAATAATAATAATAATAATAATGAGCCTCTATTTGGGTGGGGGATTAAAATTTGATTTACAATAGATTTTGATAAAAGTTGATGAGATGTGGAGAAATGCTATAAGTATATAGTTTTTGCGTCTTCCTATGCAAAATCTCATGTACCTGCAGATTTAGCCCCTATTTGGTACACGTTAAAATTTTCATTTTTATTCTTCTACTCATTTTCAACCACACATCTTTCAATAAAATAATAATTTACATCACATCAATAACTTTTCCTTCTTTTTCAACCACACATTCTCCATCAATCTACTATTCCAAAATACATTCTTCCAAAATAATGTCGATCAAACACACCATTATTTTGAAATGTGTGATTGAAAAAAGTTGTGAGTCCCATAAAATGCGCGATTAAAATTAGTTGTTCATTTTGATTCAGATTAAATTTTGAATTTTAATTTCTATCAAGCATGGACTAAATATGTAAGAATCAAGGCCCCATTAAGTACGTAAAATGCCCTTATAAATATACATACTGAAAAGTTGAAATTTTCATGCATATACTGTAATTTTGCAAACAAAGTTTCAACTGATGACTGCAATGCGAATATGATGACATCTGTTTAACCAGCTTTGTATTTTATCGATCGCACAAGAGAAGCACATGCATTGCACCTGACTAAAGTTATTCTTAATGGACAAGAAGTAAATTATAGTTTTTCTTAGATAAAATTAGAATTATATGACAGGCAGCAAGAAAGAATGAAATATCAACGTATAAGATTATTTTACGGATAATTGGCGCAAAATAACTCTAACTTAGAATCCTAACCTTTCATTTTGATGCTATACACTCCTATATCATCCAAACCTTGCAAGATACAATATTTTCATCCATTTTCTCTATAAATTCTTGTAAAATGATGAATTTACCTTCCTTTTAAATAAACAAAAAGAAAAGAAGTCCCAATTTTTTTTAAAAAGTGCAAACAAGTTTCAATAAAAATAATTAAAGAATTAAAAATAAAAAATGTGAAAAGGGATTATCTAAGGTAATTAATTGTTTAAATTTAGCCATGTCTGCGAGTTGGATCTGTCTTTCCGGGGCAATTTCAGCTGTCTCAGCTCACTGTAGCTCATGCCCAGGCCTCTTCTCGAGCTCAGTCGAAGGCTCAGACTCATGCCTCAGTTCCTCGGCTCAAGGGTTTTCATTCAACCTAGCACATTCCAGCAGGGCAAATGTGTGTTCGCCATCGCCCTCTGTTTCTGGAGCTGGCAGTGCCAGTGCAAAAAGGTTTATGCAGAAACCACCTGTGCGGCCGACTGGCTTCTCTCCTACCAACACGGTTTCTCCTGGCTATGAGGACAATGGATGCTTCAGCTGCTGCTCGCAGGAAGAAGCAGAAGCAGTTACAGGAAAGAGTGGCTGCAATTTTGCCCGAATCTGCTCTTTACACACAGCTCCTTGAGTTTGAGTCCTGCGTGGACGCTGCTCTCACAAGGAAGAAAATTGATATCCAAGACTGAAGACTTCGTCATACATACAGAAAAATCTCCGGACATATGTATTTAACACTTGCTAATCGTATTCGTACTATTCCAAAGAATTAAAAACTAAAAAAGTGAAAAGGGTTCATCTTTAGGAACCGTTCAGCATGTTTATATTTGATTTAAGAGAAAGCTTCGAGGTTACATTATAATGATCTTCAAAGAATAAGTATTGACGTATTGGTGATACTTTCAAGCTTCATAAGGTATGGATTTGATATCTTGGTAGTGTGGCCATCTTATAGGTTGGTTTCAATAAAAGCTAAGGAAAAACTTATACCCCAAGTTGAGGAAATTAAAATTCAACTTGTTGAGCATAATCTTGAGATAAATAAGACGGATTGAGAGATTGTAGAGATTGACAAATATATAAGAAAAGCTTGAAATTGTTAGATCATGCTAAAGAAACGACGAATCGTGAAATTACTTCTTTTGAGTCTAAATTGCACGAAATTAGTAAAAACATTAAAAAAATGTATATTTGCAATAAATGAGCTCAAGAATAACGATAAAATGATTTCATGTATTGTATTCGATCACCTCAAGAAGCTTTACATGTATCTTATATGTTGGTCCCAAAGTTCACAAAGAACACAAAAACAGAATAATAGCGCGAGAAAATAAAGAATCAACACAAAGATTTTTCACCCAAAAAGGGTCCGGATGTTCAGCCAAAGGCCTACTCACCCGTTGAGCATCCACACAAAGGGATATTGCTCTAGTTCCACTAAGATCACCAAGAACAGTTACAATGTACGAAGAAATCAGAGATTTCTTCAAGTTTCTCTCGCCTCACAAACCACACAGAAATTATACAGAATCTCACAGAATCTACATCAATCGTAGTTACTGCCTTATCACTAAGAACATACACAGAAAATCACTCAGCCCTTCACACGACAGAGAGAAGAGAGGAGAAAACCCTAATCACACAGAGAGAAATCTCATCCAAAGTTATCCCAACCGTCTCACCAAATGAAGCTTCGAGAGACTCTAAGTAGAAGGCCAAGGGATTCTATCAACCATAAGGATCAGGCCACAAGTAAGGGCCAGATGGCAGAGCCCAATAAGGATCAATACTGGGCCGACATTATTTAGCAGCACAGGCCCACAGATAACCAAACAGGGCCAAGAATAATGAGGCAGTCAAAACATAACATTATATTACTTAAAAGTTTAAAAGTCTTATAGGTCGCACGCGAGCAGCACAAGTATTGAAATTCTCAAATATTATTCTTAATGGACAAGAAGTAAAATATAAATTTTATCAATAAAAATAGAAGTATATAATAAGATAAAACTATAAGATAATTCTATGGAATTTCTGATCTCTGAAATTTTAAAGAGAGTAGTATAGATTTAATGATAACCTATTCAACACTCATTCAGAAAGATTTGAAGTTGCAATTTAAATGTTCCTCAAAGCATTGTTAAGGACATTTAGAAGACTTGTAGGCTTAAAACTGTACAGATTTTATATTTTGAAAGTGGGTTGATTTCGATTGAAGAGAGGCACGAAAAGCAATTTGACCATGTCGAGAAAATTAAAAGTCAAATTGTCATGTACTGGAGATATATAAGTTGGATGAAGAGATTCTGGAGATCAATAAAAATAAATGGAATTTACAAGAAAAGCTTTTGCTCGTTAGATCAGCTAAAGAGACGGAGAATCAAGAAATTGCTTCCTTCGAGTATAAAATGCAGGAAATTAATGAAATCATATAAAATTGAGTGTTGACAATAAATGATATCGATCACAAAGCACGTGCATTGGCCCTAAAGTGTAAAAGTCTTATAGATCACAAGCGGGAAGCACTCCGTTGAACTTATCAAACATTATTCTTAATGGATAAGGAAAATATTGGCCATGGGACCGCTAACTAGGTTGGTTCAATTAAAGTTAGGCAAGAAAAAGCTTATAGGCCAAGTTGAGGAAATTAAATGTCAACTTGTTGAGCACAATCTTGAGATAAATAAAATGTAACGAGTTTGTGGAAATCAACAAATATTGAAGGAACTTATAAGAAAATATTTCAATTATTAGATCACCTAAAGAGACGATGAATCATGAAATTCCTTCTTTGGAGCCTAAAGCGCATGAAATTAATGTAAGCATAAAAAAATGTCTATTAGTATTAAATGAGCTCTCGAGGTTAGTAATAAGACAATACCACGTGTTGTAGTATTTTGTTCACCTTAACTAGCTTTGTAAATAATTTATACCACTTAAAGATTAAGTCTTATGGGTAGCACGCAAAAAGAACACGCGTTGCACAGGAATCCGCTGGACATCTCAGCCGCTGGATTTGATACCCGCATCCAATCGAAGTTCAATTTTAGTGCCCCTAACATAAAGGAGAGCTCTCTCTTGGACAGAACCATAAAATTGCTTCCTTGGAGTATGAAATGCAGGAAATCAATGAAAGCATATAAAAGCGAGTATTAACAATAAATGGGCTTGAGATTAGCGATAAGATAATATCATGTGTTGTATGTGAGCACCCTAACAAGCTTTCTAGGTGTTTTATATCATGTTAGTCTTAGTAGGTCGCACGTGATAAACACGTCACACGCGAGAAACACGCACATTGTACTTATCAAATGTTATTCAATGTGTTAATTATACTTTTTCCCATATAGAGTAGAAATGTATAATCAGCAAATAGAAATAAGAATACTGCTAAACAGCGGTGATGTGATAGTCTACGTAGAGTATCTAATTGGCATTACATATTTATTAAATAATTAAAAAATTCTGTTGTTTTGGGCCTTTCATCTTCCCAAGCAAACACATTCCTTAATCCCTCCCATTTTTCTCTCTTCGAACAACGCTACCTCCCCCTCTCTCTCTTATACAAAATTTCCAGTCCTCTGATCCTCTCCCATTATTCACTATCACCGCCTGTCTCCACCGGTTCCACCAATTTCAGGAAAGAACTTTCGCTGAATAGTACATAAATCTGGGTAAGTAGACAAATAATTGGTTTATAATTTTGTTATTCATGAAGTTTTGTTTGTGTGTTGTTTTTTGGGGGATTTCTTTGTTTAGTCGTATTTATCTTATTAAGTTTTGAAATTAAAGAATTCTTCTGTTAATGTTTACTTTATACAGTTAAGAAAATTTATTTTGCGAGCAAAGTGATTATAACATAGCATTTTCCATAATGGTGAAGGCCTCCTGTTGGCGAGGTGTCTGCGACCCAGGCACCTCCCCAATAGGAGGCCTCCATTTGTCCATTATGGACACCGTTATGTATTGTGCTATGTATTCATAGCACAACCCATATCTCTACATGAACATAATCTCCGCATGTTTGCATGTGTGGTATCTCATGTTTGTATTTGTCCATGCTGGTGCTGGAAAGCCAAGTTCGACCTCGTTATTTAGTTTCGGATATCCAATTTGTTTGATTCTTGGAATTGTATGTTTTTCAAAATGGGTGGTGGTCTTTTTCATTCATTTGTTTGTGCCATTCCCATGACTAGAATCACATTTAGTTGGTATGTGATATTGGTTTCTTTCCAATATGTTTGATTAGAAAATCGTGTGCTATTAAAAGATTGGTGCTAATCTTTCATCCATTAGGAAATTTATGCTGTTCAATTTGTATTGTTAATAATTAGTGTTTTCCTTTCAATAGATTATAAAGAGTTCGAGATGAAAAGCGCTGGTAGTTGGAACTCACTTTGATTCATCGCGGACAGATGGTAATTTACGATTTGTTTGCTTATCGTGTTCTCGAGCTGGAAACTTGAAGTCTCAAGAACAAAATTACCTTAATCCTAATCCACTAACGAAAATGGGGTGTAAAGCTAAGGTTAATGCTATTGTATTTGAAGATGGGAAGTTTAAGATTAATTCTATTACACTTGAGCATAATCATGATCTGAATCCGCAAAAATCACGATTTTACTCCTTTAACAGAGGAATTAGTATAGGCACTAGAGATACAGGTTTTTTTTTTTTTTAAGGAGGGCAGTACTTTCGAAATTTTATTAAAATGTCCTCACTTGTGGCGGAGGAATATCATGGTTACAAATTTGTACTAGCAATAAATGTGCTCAATATTAGAAAGAAGATATTATTAGTATTTGATGCCTTTAATAAGCTTTGAAAGTATTTTAAATCACTTAAAATGTGAGTCATGAGTTGCACGCGAGACGCACGAGCCTTGCACTTATCAAACATTATTCTTAATGGACAAGAAGTAAATTAATGTTTTTTCCTAGAAAATAGTAGAAGTATATAACCAGCAATAGGAAAGAATAAAGTATCAATTTATTAGATTATTTTATTGAACTTCCAATCTTTAAAATCTTTTAAAAGAGTTATCGTGAAGGTTTAGCTATAGGCATTATTGTGATCTTTTTCACTGTTATGGAGAAAGCTTCGAGATTACAATTTAATGATCCTCGAAGCATTAGTATTTGACATATTGGAGATGCTTTTGAGATTGATTTGACATCTTGGCAGTGGGACCATGTAAGTAGGTTGGTTTCAATAAAACCTAGGCAAGGAAATCGTGAGATCATGGAGATCGACAAATATATAAGGAACTTACAAGAAAAGCTTTCAATTGTTAGATCAGCTAAAGAGACTAGAAGTCGTGAAATTACTCTAAACTGCAGTAAATGAAATCATAAAAAAAGACTATTAGCAATAAATGAGCTCTTAGCTCTTAGCAAGTTTGGATTCTACTATCAACCTTTTTTTTTTTCGTTAGTGCATGATATAAACATCCTTCGGGTTCCAGTATAATATGGAGGCGTCTAGCTTTTCTGTGTGCATCACCTCTATAGTGGGATGAATATTGTCTTGAGAAAAGGAACTCAGTAACATTCCTTGGAGCCAAGATTCATCATCTATAAATTTCTTGCTGTTTTCTCCAACCTCATCTACTTGTTCACCCAGCCATTGAGT